AATAGAATAGAATAGAATAGAATAGAATAGGTTTATTGGCCAAGTATGAGACATACAAGGAATTTGACTTCGGTGCAAAAAGCTCTCAGTGTGTTTGCATAGCATCAGGAAATAAAGTATCTGTGAACCACAGTGAAATTAAGACATATTGCTACTAGAAACAACTAAAGCATCTCATGCAATTACCAAAACATTTCAGCAGTTCTTAAAATTTTGAAACATAAAAATATTCTACCTCCTTGAGTGATTATGTTGAATATTATAAGATGAAAACAGGCCAGCTTTGAAGGAAGAGATATTTAAAACAAGATATCGCTTGTATAAATTAAACAGCTAATAAGACAAAACGACTGTCTTGTGTTTGGTGCTAAAGGCAATTCATACAACTAGTATATTATTCATAGACTATTATATATTAACCATATCTGGACTAGTGGATTAGTTGTGGTTTTATTGCCTTCAGATTCATGGTTCCAGAAAACTTCACAGTCTCTGCAAGGCCTTCTGAGGCTAAAAAACACCAAATTTCATGGTCAGATCTAAGGTAGCCAATTGTTCTTGCTAAACAGCCTGTAGCACAAAACACATTACAACAGGTTATCCATTACAGCACAACTACTTTTTGAAATCAATTATCTTTCCTCTTTAGATTGAGTTTTCCATTTGTTTTATTAGTGCGTGTAAACACTCACCGCAAAACACAACCCAAGCCCTCCCTTCTTTTCCCACCAAGGTGAACAACTGCAGAAGTCTCAGTTTTATTTCTCCATTCAGAAATGAAATGAAACCCCACAGGAATTGTGCCACAAGAAGGTCAAGCAATCCTGTATCTCCGCTGGCGGCCATTAAATTATAGCCGTGAGAACTTCACAACCATTTGGCAAAGTGGCATTCCTCCACAGAATGCTGAAATTTTAGAAGTCAAATGCATACAATCCAAGGAGAATCTCTGGCATCGTTTCTGTCTGCAGCCATATATATTTTTGCATGGAAAGTGTGATTCCTCAGTCCCGTGTTTGGCAGGGAGAGTACTACCACTTACACTTGTGGTACATTCTGCCTAAAGTCAGTGCAACTAATTTCTGATTGAACAGGCTAGGGTCAGGCTCTAAATTACATGGTGTAATTAGAGCTTGGCTTTGTAAGTTCATGAGTTACAACAACTTGAGCAAAAAGCTCCTAGCTCACCTCCACCCTCTGTCCTCCTCCCAGCATTTTCAATAAGAGAAAGCTCATTCCAAAAAAACAAAATGCCATAGCAATGGCTGGTTCACGTAAAACGCTCCTTTCATCAAGTCAGACAATTACCCGTTTTGTCTACTCTGACCAGCATCACTTCTCCAGGTTCCTTGACGGGACAGCTCTTTTCCATCACCTGAAAGAGCTTTTACTGAGGGTGATAAATAATGGTGTGTGTGTGTGTGTGTGTGTGTGTGTGTGTGTAGATGGACAGAGCCCTGAGTTCTTTTCCATAATTTCTTTCCAACATCCCATTGGGTTGGAAACAATACAAATGAATCAAGATATCCATCTCTCTCTCTCTCTCTCTCTCTCTCTCTCTCTCTCATAGGGTATTTCTCTGAAAATGGAATGGAATGGGACCATGTGTGGTGTGAGGAGAGAAGCCAGGAAAAAAGTTTTGGAAATAGGCTGGATCAGGCTGGGGCTATGGAGAATATATATATATGTTAAAAAAAAAAAAACCAGAAAAATGTTCTCGAATGCATTCCTGTGGGAGAGGAAGCTCAGAATGACGTTGATTTCTCCATTCTAAGCCTTCTCCCTCCTGGTCACATGAACCAGAGCTCAGCATACCAAAGCAGGCAAGAGCAGAAATACAGAGTCCTGAGTGGGGGAAATGTGAATATAAATAAATAAATGCACACATCACATTACTTTCTACGAAGAAAGATCAAACACCTTGTACAGCTGCTGGTGGTAAAGGGGTTGGAAACAGTTCCAGCCGCCATGCTCTCTATATTTTCTGTTTCTTAAAAAATATTTTCATTCTCCGTTTTCTAAAATGATCTAGGGAAGCAATACATTTGGTAACATGCCTATCCTGTTGCAATTTCTTCGGTATATACATTTTTCACTGAATTGCAGTAGCGTACTTACATAGTGTAAAAGCGTAACTGCAGCTTTTCATTAAACTAGTAAATGGCCTTCATGGATGCTGTGACTTTCCTCCATTCTCCCGCCACCATCCCATCTTTCCAGGCAGATCTAAAATCCAGTCCCCCACCTCTTGACCAGGGATCAAGAGGGTCATGGGAGAAGGCGGAACAATTTGTTCTGCTGCTGGACGCTGCTTCATCAGGAAATGAACACCACTGGATACCTCTTCAAACCTAATTATTTCTATGATTATTCTTGAATTTTTTGTGAACTTGCCCTAGTTTTGTCTTAATAGGAAGAAAAGGTTTGTCATTTCCCTCTCATTCTTGAAATGCCACATCAGGATACAAGCCTATGCAGATGCACCTGAAAGGCATCTCCCCCAACACATCAAGACTTTTGAGAAGGATTAGAATTTGTCCCCTTCCTTGTATGTCTTCTTTCTGTTCCTTAGAGGCAATACTTGTGTCACACTCTGGCTTTGAACATATCATGACCTGAATCAGGAGTAATCAAATCCAAGAGATGCCCAAGCTGAAGCAGATCAAATTGTAACCCCCTTGAAACATCTTTAGAACTGGAGAACTCAGAAGACAGAGATTCTAGTCAATATAATTGCAAAATCTGATACATTTCTTTCAAGCTTTCAGTGTAAGAAAATCATCTGATGTGTTATGTTTGAAATCAGTGGTTTTACCAGAGGTCTATAGTCAGTGCTTTGCTAGTTCTCACAGGAGCGAGAGAGATGGGATCTATTATTTTGCAGCCCATGTTTTCCAGTAACTTTCATCTAATTATAAAATTTGCTTCCAAGGAGATGGTTCTACCACCAAATTGCCTGGCATTTCCATGACAATGAAAGACTTTTAAATCATGTGACATTTTAAAATTCTGTTGGCAATTGGTTTTATGTTTCTTATTCTGAATTGTTTGGCTGTATATTTTCATGCCATCCAATTTAAATATTTATTTAAACTCTATATTCATATTCTAAAGCTTTGTTATTTTATTCCTTTGTTACTTCTTCCGTTCTTGGAAAAACAAGTAGATAAGCTAGATGAAGGCAGGGGTTAGTGAGCATCATACAGCATATGGATGGATGGATGGACAGACGGACAGACACAGTCTGCGTCCATTTGGTGATGTGCTTACATGCTTTAACTATAGAACTGGCTTATTTCTTCTATGTTGTTTTAGATTGGGTAGAACCATCAGCAGAATGGTTGGTTTTAGATTGGGTAGAACCAATCCCAAACTGCTTTCTTTCCATAGTTGCTCAGACACCATGACAGTAGGAAATGAAAACACTAGCCTAATACCATTGGATCACTGGATAGAATGCTTTCCATATTATAGTTTGTAAAAGCGCTTCCAGCATTCTACACTTGATTCTGACACTCAATTTACATGTATGTAGTCCCATGGCAATCTGGGTATACATAAAGAACACTAGTCATATAATTTTATTTTCTGGCATGGTGATATGGTTACTGTATACAAATCTAACTATATGTAGGCAGAAACCATTATATATAATCAGACTAGCATAAAAGCAGCTATGTCACTAAAAAGATATATTATGGCACCTTCACAATTTTGCATGATGTAATTGCCGTGACAGCATTCACTTCCCCATGAAGATCAATACATGGTGCAACTCACTGCACAGAATATTTTGAAAATATTTGAAAGTCTTTGTTAAAAACTAATAACTGGAATTTTTTTTAAATTACCAAAAGTTGATGAATTTCAAAATTAAAGATAGTTCAACATAATGATTCAAGAATAAAACTAAGTATCATTGCTTTTATTTGAAAACACCATGAATTATTTAAGAAATTGAAAATATTTCTTTATTTGCAATGTATATCTACAATTTCTTGCTTGATCAGAACTAGAGTCACAAACAGATTTTCAACGTAGAAATGCAACATTCATTTGTCAAGACTGGCAGGAAAAGATGGACAGACATAGACAAAGCAAAACATCTGTTACTGAGGATCTGGTTTTCTGCTGAAGATAACACGTCTGTTCCACGGGTGATTCTTAAATTCTACAACGGTGGAAATACACACTCATAAAACTAGTTCACTGACACTGTGTTGCTAAAATGTTTCTAGAACAACTCTGAACCAGAGAAATCATCACCACCACCTCTTTCTTTAAGAGCAAATTCCCCCCTTCCACTATGTTGAATTTCCTGAATATCAAAGAAATATTTTAAAAATTAACTGACATAAAAAATAGCATGCTTTTATGAACATTGAAGAAAAAACTCTGCACAAAACTCTGCACTCAACTACAGTTTCTTCATCTATTTTCAAATGCATTATGGCTGTTCTTTGCCACTGCGACTTTCCCTTGAGAACGCCTCAAGCTATACCTGATCCACAGCTCAGTGTCTTTACTGAAAATTTATATCCACTGCCAAATAAGTATCCAGAATCTTCAGTACAGCCCAGAGCTGGATTGTGAATGCTTCCTGTCAGCTCATGCGGATTTCCAAATATTTGAGCTGTAAGTCCTTTGACTCTGTCTTTGCCAATAAATCCTTGTCCAACATGCGCTTAGCTATTAAGCTTACAAAAAGATGTGGGTGGAAGTTACTGAAGCTTAGTACTAGAAAGTCAAATCCATGCAGGACTCTGAATGAGGATAGGAACATTGAATCACAGAGTTATTTTTGAGACGTGCAGTTCAGGCTGCATGAACCTGCCCTTTGGTATCCCTCTAGAGCAGGATGGGAAGCCTGTGGCCCTCCAGATGTTCCTGCACTGCCCAATTCTTAGTATCCGTCCTCTTTGGCCATAGTAGCTGAGGTTTCAGGGACTAAATCATCAGCAGCATCAGGAGGAGTACACTCCAGAAGTATTCACAAGTTACTATTTTTCAGCATAACTGGTAATAATGTTGCAACACATCACAGATATAAGCATTCTGTAGCATTGTGCCTAAAAACGGTTTAAATAAGGAAATCCACATATATTGTTAAAAGGTAGGTGCCAGGGAATTTCTGTTTTATTATTTTTCACTTTGTACTAGAAACAGACATGATAACCAATCAACCTAAATAGGCATGATCCAGCCAAAGTTATGCACCTTTAAGTCCTACTGATTTAAGTGAGAACAATAAACAATCAAACTGATTTAGAAGTGTATCTCATCTACATTTTTGTTTGACTAGAAAATCTGCCCAACAGAGTTTCTCGATAATATTTAGCTAAGTGCAGTAATTAATTGCAAATTTAACATTCAAGGCAACAGGTGATAAGAACTACATTTAAATTCAAATATTTCTGAACATAATTATTAAGCAGTTACAAAAATTAAGATGAATCTTAGCATTATACAGCATATTGCTAACATCATTTATTATGGATGAAGTGGAAATTAACATATCTGATTATCACAGCAGCAAAAACCTGCAACTCTTCTGTGCCATGGAATATGTTCTGAAGCAGCATTTTTAGTTTTAAAGAGAAAGGGCAAAAAAAGCCATAAATTATATATTTTAAGAATTCTTGAGGCATCCAATAAGTTTCTTGACAATATATACCCACACAATCCTGCATTTACACACAGTCTTCAGTAATATGCAGTTAACTGTGAAGTGGGCTTATGCAGTAGGTCTACGCAATGGTGATTAAAGTGCAAAATATATGGTACAAAGTCTTAATGACTACTGTATCTTGTTTCGATGGACACCGAGGAACTGAGACTGGATCTTCCATTGATGGCAACGGTGTTTGATGGAGGTGCAACCTGGAAAAGAAGAGTATTGTCAGGATCACAGAAGAAAACTAGGCCTGGATACCATCCATCAGCCATTTCAACGTGCAACTGTCTGAAAAGCTACTGCTGAGCAACATCTAATTATCAGGATTAGGTGTCTACTACAACCATATTCAGTGAAGATGTATACATGTATTTGATAGAGGGAGCAATGTGATGTGTTGAACTAAAGCTGAGAAGATTTGGGTTCAAATCCTAATCAGCCTTAAAATTCAGTGGGTGTCTGGGCAGACATTCTGTTTTACCAAACTTAGCGCAAATTGGTGGAAGGACAAAATGAGATGGAAGAAGCATCTCTCTCTGCTTCTCAAAGTGCATAGGATAAAACACAAGCAAGCAAATAAACTACCTGCAGACTGTCTCAGTCTGAAACAGCTTTCATACTAATTAATATTAATTTAAAGATCATATTGTTGGAAGAAAACTCTTTATGGGCATCCAGGGATACTTCACTGATTTGGAACTTATCTTCCTGCTGTTCAGAAATCTGCCCAGCGTATCAGAGAGATACATGATTATTTTATTAAAAAGAAAAAAGAAAAAAAAAGTGTGGTAGCTGCTTAAGAACCACTGCCCTCTGAATTAGCCCCATATTCCCTAGGAAATAGAAGTAGGCCAGAGGTAGGGATCCTGTGATCCTCTAGATTTTTTTTTTAAGGTAAAACTTCCAGTAGCCCCATCACTATGAGCAATGGTGAAAGATGCTGGGAGCTGGTCAGCCACATCAGCAAGACCACAGGTTGGCCCTGTTGTAGAGCTCTGACTATAATTTTAAATCAAATCTCTTTTTCCAATTAACTAGGAAGTTTAATTCTAAGCATTCATTGCATGCTTCTCTCTTAAATCCCATTTTATTGTCAGTTTCACATTTGATTGGTTTAATGATATTAATGTACTGCTACAAGAAAATGTACTTTTAACATCATTGTAAAAAGCAGTTCAGTTACAAAGGGGAGTTGGTGCTAGCCCAAGATAATCTGCAGCCTGAGCCCATCTCGTCCTTAGTCAAGATCCATTGTCCTCATGGAATTTTGGCACCTGAGACACAAAATTCCACAACAGCGTATCCCATTCTCTAGCAGCAAAAATGTAATAGTAATAATGTTTGTGAGCGTATGCATGCATGCTATTGTGAAAGGGTCTCTCATCCTGTCTGCAGTTGGCCAGATTTATCGACATTACTTCTGAATAGAGGTGGGCCCAGCTTTCAGAGATGATTATCTTGAGTTCTCAGGAAAACATTCCCCTCTGACCTTACACTGGTTTTAACTGCTGACTTATAAGCATCTACTGGCATCTTGGTCTTAATCATAACTAGCCTATCTGCAGCAATTCTGCCTTTTAATTGTTTAGCAGCTATAATCAACACCTTATTTCTCCATAAATTAGAATTCCTAATTTACAGTAACTCACATTTCATGCTCCTTCCTTCCTAGAATTTTATCCCACCTTTATTTTTGGTCAACTCAAGCAGTGTATATACTTAATATTCCTGCCTTCTACCTCCTGTTTCCCCCACGACATCAACCCTGTGAGGTGGGTTGGGCTGAGAGCATCTGGCCCAAGGTCGCCCAGCCGGCTTTCATGCATATGGGAGGATTAGCACTCACTCATAATTCCTGGCCCAGCACCTTAGCCATTACACCAAGCTGACTATATGCTAGTCTGTGGCTCATCTCGAGGCAAAGATAAGTGGATTCTGTCCACTGTGCAACTATTTTGCTTCTATCCTTTCCCCAAACCTTACTTTGACTCAGCTGAAGGTGGCAGACCTCAGGGTTTAGGAAAAAAATAAACAGACCAGTGTTTCTCAACCATGACAACTTCAAGATGTGTAGACTTCAACTCTCAGAATTCCCCAGCCAGCATGGGGGAATTCTGGAAGTTGAAGTCCACACATCTTGAAGTTGCCAAAGTTGAGAAACCCTAAAATAGACCCTGCAAGCCTGAAATCAATGAGTGAAGTCAACAAACTTATGGATGAGATAAACATTTTGCTTTTAAAAAAGGAGCATCTTAAGATTTTAAAATAAAGTATTATCTTAATGGGGAGAGACTAGTCATACAATGGAAACATTCTGGAGAAACAGCTTCAAACCCTACCCTGATTTGACCCATTTGATTAGCAATTACTGCGGGCTTAATTCAGCAGGAATAAAACTACAGCACAAAAGGCCACAGAGTTTGGCTCTGCACCTGAACAAGTTATTAAAGCGGGGGGGGGGATGTTTGGCTGACAGCAGAAGCAGTTTTTGCCTCATTTCTTAAATACTTGGCAGGTACTGAGAGCACCTGACAGACCTTTTACCCGATTTATTAGAGCAAAGCGTTCGCCCAACATCTTTTCTCCTTGTTCCCCATACACAAGGAAATCAAGCAGCCTGCCAGCCTGCTGACATTAAGGGTTTAATTCTCCCACATGTAACATGCCTTGTTTTAAAAAGCTAAAGTGACATTTTGCAGCCACAGCCTGACATCATCTTCACAAGAGGCATAAAAATAAATTTGATACCGCAGTTTTCTCATCTAAGCTTCACTTCCTCATATTGTTAGATAGTGCAAAAGTATCAACAGGCTACTCTTTTTGGGGGGGGGGGACTTTCTTAAATGGAGCAGAACAACTGAGGAAAATCTGAAATAACTTCTTAAAATAAATGGAACGGGATAGGTCCATCTTGGCCATATTAGTTAACCTTAGAGCCCAGGCAAAACAGCATTTTTAGTTTCTCTTTCCCATGCACAATTCCCAACAAGAATGGCGGCATGCATTAGGTTACTCTTCATATTTCACTACTTACTTATTTAATCAAACCTGTAGGCTGCCTCACAGCAATCAGAAAGAAAAACAAGTGACAATAGAATTACTACATACTCATATTGGGCAGAACATCACAGCTCATTACAAGAACAGTAGAAAACACGCAGGGAGCCAGCACACAAGCTATCCTCCCACAGGACTTGTGGGAAAACCCAGATCTTCAAGGCTTTACAAAAACACAACAGGTTTGGGGTCATACAGATGTCAGAAAGAATGCTGTTCCAGAGGGCAGGTGTGGCTACAGAGAAGGCCCTGCAAGATGGCACTGCTTTACCACGAGGACTCGGTGTGAGCCAACCTTTCCAGTTCTTATCAGATGGGCAGAAACAACGAAAGAGAGGCTCAAAGGTATCCAAGTCCCAAGCCATGAAGTGACAACCAGCCTCTTGAATAGCAGCTGGAAGTAGTGGTGTGACACAACAGGAGTGCAAAATAATGGTGCTACACAGGTAAAATGAGGTATGACCACAATTACTTCCATCACTGCATTTCTGAGTAGACTTCAAGGTAGCCACATGTAGAGTGTACTGCAATAACTCAAACAGGTGGTGATTAAGGCATGGGTGACTGGGAGAAAGGCCTCCCAATCCAGAATCCAGATTATAATTGGAGTACCAAATGAATCTTTGCAAAGGCCCTCCTGGCCATAGCTGCCAGTTGTTTGTTGAGCAAGAACCTTGAGACCAGATGGACCCCCAAATTGCACACAGGTTCTGCCTGGAGAAGCGCAACCCCACTGAGAACTGAAACTGAAAAGTCCTTGCTAAGGTTGAGCCTGAGCCTGCTCCTCTCCATCCAGACCTTGACAGCTGCCAGGCACTGGAATTGGACTTCAGTGGCACTGCCTGTTTGGCTTGGGACTGAGATGTAAATCTGGGTTTCATCTGCATACTGACAATACCTGACCCTGTGCTAATGCAGATGTTAAATACAATCGGGAAGCTGGTGAGCCCTGAGAAACCCTGCAAGGCAAAGCTTTCAGACTTGATCCATCCTACCCCACTCCCTGCCAACTCTGACCAGAACTGTCCCTGGAGAAAGGAGACTCACTATAATACAGAACTCCCCACCTCTAACCTCTGGAGGTGGTGGGCTCAGAAGGCTATCATGGTCAGTGACATTGAAAGCTGCTGTCAGCCACATTAGACAGTCCAGGCCAGAAAATCAACTCCACCAGGAAGACCTGAGCTGTATTTTATTGAGAGAGGCTATAATAACAGAATCTCACAAGTCTCATTGTGCTATCCGTCCCTTCCATCTTATATCCCAGTGACTCAGGGAGGCATCTGCCTGGGCCACTCCCAAACAGCTCCTTGCTTCCTAGGCCTTAAAGAGTGCTTCAGCCCTCTTTGCCTAGGCAATGGTGTGGAAGAGCAGGCTGCTTAGCAACATTGCAGGCACCTTCCCTCCCAACTGAGCCCCCCCCCAGCATCAGCATGGCAGAGCTGCCAATCAAGGTGCAACTCTGACACAGGCGTGAGGGAGAGACAGGAGGAGATGCCTATTCTGGAGCTCTGCAGCCACCAGCAAACTGAGTACGGCAGTCATACGGAAGACGATGTCCTCCCTTCAGAAGGAGCGGACCATCGAAAAGAGAGGAAAAGAAGTCTAGCAGCCCAGCGGGACAAAGCGCAACGTAAAAAGGTGCAAGAGCTCTACATGCTGGCCATCAACAGAAGAAGAAGAAAAAAATTTCAGAGGGGCCTTAAGACAGAATAGGCTTAAGGAAAAAACATCGATGCATAATAGTAATAGTATAAAGCATCATATACAGGTAATAGTAAGAGGTAAGAGAGTAAGAGGTAATAGTATAAACATTGTCATAGTAAGAATATTTGAAAAGTATATTGTAATAGTAGTTACCATAGTAATACTATAGAGATAGCAGCAGAATATAGGAAACACTCACCTATCACTTTTATATGTTTGTTTTTACAAAATAAAACATCTCCCCAACCTTTAGAGGGAGATACAAAGAAACCACCTGTGCAGGGTTCAGTGCTTTTGTGTCTCTCTTGAGTCTGGGTCAATCTACCTGAGTATAGTTTAAAAAAGAGCCTGTGACAAATGGTTCTTGCATATTCCAGTCCCTTACTTTCTACAGCTGCTGAGAGATTAAGCAGTAACAGGAGGGTTGCACCACCCAACTTCTGGTCCCCCCTGAAGTCATCCACAAGCCCATCCATGCTGTCTCAATGTTCTGCTCAATCTCCAACTGGTAAGGGTTCAGATCGCCTGCTTCCTCCAGGGTCCTCTATAGTTATAGCTCACAGAAGCAGGCAACAATAGCAATAAAACCTCAACGGTAGACTTTTTCAACAGCGCAAGGGGACACTCAGAAATATGACCTTAGAACGGCAAGCTGTGCAGTCGCAAAGCTTGCTTGAGAAAGCTGAGTTCATCAGCTCACTTGAGCTAAAACCTCTTTATATAAGTTTTGTCCTAGTCAGAATTAGAGCACAGAAACTGTACGTTTCTTTAAAAAATATGCAAAATATCCTGCAGAATATACAGGAAAAATATACAGTATGTTTTTTAAAAAGTACTGATTTTGAAACTTGAAGCCTACAAACCCCTGATCTATGCCACAACCTCTCTGCCTTATGGACTTGTTGATTTCTAAGAAGATACTGAGTTAACCATCTGCATCAAAAAAGGCTGAAGAGAGTTAGGGAAGATGGAAGTGCAGGTATGAAGCTAAGATGGTTTATAAAAGACCTTAACTCAAAAAGTACAAATGAGCAAGGGAACTGAAAGAGGCGGTGGAAGAAAGGAGAAAGTGACCAGGACAAATAGAAAGCGAGGGAAGCTGAGTATACCAAACAACCTGGTAACCTTTAGTTATGTTTTTAACTGAG